GCTTCGGTTAGGTTAGGTCACATTAGGTCAGGTTAGGTTAGGTTAGCTTGGCTTCGGCTAGGTTAGGTCACATTAGGTCAGGTTAGGTTAGGTTAGGTCACATTAGGTCAGGTTAGGTTAGGTTAGCTTGGCTTCGGCTAGGTTAGGTCACATTAGGTCAGGTTAGGTTAGGTTAGCTTGGCTTCGGCTAGGTTAGGTCACATTAGGTCAGGTTAGGTTAGGTTAGCTTGGCTTCGGTTAGGTTAGGTCATAGGTCAGGTTAGGTTAGGTTAGCTTGGCTTCGGCTAGGTTAGGTCATTAGGTCAGGTTAGGTTAGGTTAGCTTGGCTTCGGCTGGGTTAGGTCACATTAGGTCAGGTTGAGGTTAGGTTAGCTTGGCTTCGGCTAGGTTAGGTCACATTAGGTCAGGTTAGGTTAGGTTAGCTTGGCTTCGGTTGGGATTAGGTCATTAGGTCAGTTGGTTAGGTTGGCTTGTTTCGGTTGGATTAGGTCACATTAGGTCAGGTTAGGTTGGGTTAGCTTGGCTTCGCTAGGTTAGGTCACGTTAGGTCAGGTTAGGTTAGGTCACATTAGGTCAGGTTAGGTTAGGTTAGCTTGGCTTCGGTTAGGTTAGGTCACATTAGGTCAGGTTAGGTTAGGTTAGCTTGGCTTCGGCTAGGTTAGGTTACATTAGGTCAGGTTAGGTTAGGTTAGCTTGGCTTCGCTGGATTGGGTTACATTAGGTCAGCTTCGGTTAGGTTAGGTTAGCTTGGCTTCGGCTAGGTTGGTCACATTAGGTCAGGTTAGGTTGGGTTAGCTTGGCTTCGGTTAGGTTGGGTCACATTAGGTCAGGTTAGGTTAGGTTAGCTTGGCTTCGGCTGGGTTAGGTCACTAGGTCAGGTTAGGTTAGGTTAGCTTGCTTCGGCTAGGTTAGGTCACATTAGGTCAGGTTAGGTTAGGTTAGCTTGGCTTTTGTTGCTAGTTAGTCACATTAGGTCAGGTTAGGTTAGGTTAGCTTGGCTTCGGCTAGGTTAGCCTAATAGGTCAGGTTAGGTTGTTAGTCACATTAGGTCAGGTTAGGTTAGGTTAGCTGGCTTCGGCTAGGTTAGGTCACATTAGGTCGTTAGGTTAGGTTAGCTTGGCTTCGGCTAGGTTAGGTCACATTAGGTCAGGTCAGGTTAGGTTAGGTTAGCTTGGCTTGGGTTAGTTAGGTCACATTAGGTCAGCTTCGGTCAGGTTAGGTTAGGTTAGCTTGGCTTCGGCTAGGTTAGGTCACATTAGGTCAGGTTATTGGCTTCGGCTAGGTTAGGTCAGGTTATCGACCACACGGCAGGTCCCACACCACAATAGAACACAGGTAACAATAAACTAGAGGAGACTCACTTAATCCTCTACACCCAGGGTCTGTTTCACACATCTGGTCAACCTAAATATACACCACTGACACCACCACTGACACCACCACTGACACCACCACCACACTGACACCACCACTGACACCACCACCACTGACACCACCACCACCACTGACACCACCACCACTGACACCACCACCACTGACACCATTGACACCACTTACTCTCTTTACCACTATCACCGATAATTAGCACCACCACCACTGACACCCAATCACCACTACTACCACTATCGTTACCACCACTACCACTATAACTACCAACCACCACCATTAACAAGAACTACCATCACTACCACCATAACTATCACCAACCACCACTACCACCACAACCACTACCACCACCACCACCACCACCATTAACAAGAACTACCATCACTACCACCATAACTATCACCAACCACCACTACCACCACCAACCACTACCACCACCACCACCACCACCATTAACAAGAACTACCATCACTACCACCATAACTATCACCAACCACCACTACCACAAACTACTACAACTACTAGCATAACTCACAAACTTGATAACTTAATAATATGTAGTAAAATATTGAAGTAATAAGTTAGAGAATTACTAAGATATTACGAGAGAGAGAGAGAGAGAGAGAGAGAGAGAGAGAGAGAGAGAGAGAGAGACACAGAGAGACACAGAGAGAGAGAGAGAGAGAGAGAGAGAGAGAGAGAGAGAGAGAGAGAGAGAGAGAGAGACTGAACTTGATCCCTTCATTATTTCTTCTCTGTCTTTCTTACCATTATCTCTCGCCTTCCATTTCTTTATTATGGCACCTTTGGACTTTATTATGGCACCTTTGGACTTTATTATGACACCTTTGGACTTTATTATGACACATTTGGACTTTATTATGACACCTTTGGACTATATTATGACACTTTGGACTTTATTATGACACCTTGACTTTATTATGGCACCTTTGGACTTATTATGACACTTTGGACTTTATTATGACACCTTGGACTTTATTATGACACTTTGGACTTTATTATGGCACCTTTGGACTTTATTATGACACCTTTGGACTATATTATGACACCTTGGGCTTTATTATGACACCTTTGGACTTTATTATGACACCTTTGGACTTTATTATGACACCTTTGACTTTTATTATGGCACCTTTGGACTTTATTATGACACCTTTGGACTTTATTATGGCACCTTTGGACTTTATTATGACACCTTTGGACTTTATTATGACATTTGGACTTTATTATGACACCTTTGGACTTTATTATGGCACCTTTGGACTTTATATGACACCTTGGACTTTATTATGGCACCTTTGGACTTTATTATGACACCTTTGGACTATATTTATGACACTTGGACTTTATTATGGCACCTTTGGACTTTATTATGACACCTTTGGACTTTATTATGACACCTTTGGACTTTATTATGACACCTTTGGACTTTATTATGGCACCTTGGACTTTATTATGGCACCTTGGACTTTATTATGACACCTTGACTTTATTATGGCACCTTGGACTTTATTATGGCACCTTTGGACTTTACTATGGCACCTTTGGACCTTGTGGCGCAGAGAGGGTAACCCCAAACAAGTCCTGAAGGTGCATATCCCAAAACACATTATAGAAACAACTGCAGGTGAGCGGGGTACTGTACCTGAGAACGGCTATGTGTGGTGTGTGTGTGTGTGTGTGTGTGTGTGTGTGTGTGTGTGTGTGTTACCTGTAGAATAAACGACCTTGCGCTGACCTGACCTGACCTATCTTAACCTATCCCATCTTTACATATCTTAACCAACCTAACCTAACAAACCTATCTAGTCTGACCTGACCTGACCTGACCTATCTTAACCTATCCCATCTTTACATATCTTAACCTAACCTAACCAAACCTATCCTAGTCTGACCTGACCTGACCTGACCTATCTTAACTATCCCATCTTTCATATCTTAACCAACCTAACCAAAATCCAACTGCCTGACTGACCTGACCTATCTTAACCTATCCCATCTTTACATATCTTAACCTAACCTAACCAAACCTATCCTAGTCTGACCTGACCTGACCTGACTTCCCAAATAGTATTAGGGTGGTTAATCTTCAGGTGATCCCATACTCTATGTATGTATGTATGTATGTATGTATGTATGTATGTATGTATGCATAAAGCTAAGAGTATGTGCACATAAGATGAATAAAAGGGTAATCATGTATGTGTGTACGTGGGCAATTATGTATGAATGGATTAAATTGTATGTAGGTATATGTTTATGTGTGTGTGTGTGTGTGTGACGGGTCTTCATGTACGTAAGTATTTCTGTACGTATATATATTTATAAATAACTTTTTATCAATTATTTCAAGATAGGAAGTCGAAACACCGACCCGGCACCCCACCCTCACCCCGCCACCAATCACAGCCCTCAGATATGATGATGTCACTACACCTAAGGCCTCTGATTGGCTGCATATAATACCGCCAAGTTACGCCTCTCAACGAACAGAAAATAAATAAATAATCAAATCTTTTGTAAATTCTCGACGAAATATTTGATTAACTATTTCCTATCCGATAAAAGTTATAATAGAATTTGTATTTACTTTAGGAATACAATAACGGCGACTGGGTTTATTGAGTGAACGCTGTATGGCAACACTGTTCAAGGGGAAGGAGAGAGAGGGGGTGGAGAGGGGGAGGAGAGGGGGGTGGAGAGGGAAAGGGGAGAAGGGGATCATTATGAGGTACACCTTGTGACTTCGTTAATGAGGCACAGGTGGAGATGCTCCGTCTACAGGTGTGTACACCACGCTCCTATACTACCACCACCACTACCATACAGGTACCTAATCATGATACACACATACACACACACACGTTTTCACAATGAGGCAGACACAAAAAAACGTGTTTGAGCGTATGTGAGTAGATGTGTGTATGTGTGATTTTGGGTATATATGTACGTGTATACAAGTGTACATGTACGTGTGTATGTACATCATCGACTGGAGACAGGAGTGGTGGTGGCAGTACAATATCATACACCGGGCAGGTCAGTAAGGGCCACACACCCCTGCCAACACACCGGGAGCACCGCCCTCCAACGCCCGCCTCACAGCCTCGCCGGGCCAACACAGTGCCAAGCCTCACGATACGCGTACCTTTACTCAACCTCTAACACAGCGCGCACCACCACCACCACCCACGGTACACTACTGCCGGGGGTGGTGGTGGTGGTGGTAGGCTGGTCAGTGGTCAATTACCACTATCACCGATGCTACCATAAGTGGGAGGGGGAAGAGGATAAGAGGGGGAGGGAAGGAATCAAATGTTTGTCACCCCTTGCTACCCCTCCACCCCCACCCAGCTGTACATCACCCCCAGGTACCCGACAGGTGTGTTGTTCCTCTCTACGCTGCAGTAGACCACAGGAGTCACTGTCAGTTTTTGTGTTCGAGGGTGTCTGTCAGCCCACCTGTCAGCCCCCACCTGAGGTACTGCCACACCTAGAGGGCACACACCTGCAGGGTCGCCACACCTGAACGCACACACACACACACACACTTGCGCCGAAAGGGAAACAGTATAAAAAATTCACTGCCCTACCTTGGCCTGGCTCCAGAGACATGGCGGCCACCCGCTCCAGCACACACACCCCTGGCCTCTCACTACGCCTACCCCCCCACCGCCCACCCCCATCTCTCTCCCTCACTCTTTTACACTCACTCCCCCTTCCATCTCCAATTACCCCTCATAATTCCTCTCTCTATCATCCCTTCGCCCCAACTCGCCCCGTCTCTTTAAAAGTCTTTAATTCTATCCACAACAAAAATGATCCCGTCTCGCGGCCGTCACATCCCTGAGTATTGACTTCCGGCTAACCCACTTTCAAACCCAACCAGTAAATGTCAAAGAGAAATCCTTCCAGAAAAAAACATAAAAATAGAATAAATAAGAGATGCATCGATATATTTAAACGACGCTACACTAAATATGGACCAACACAGCAACATGCATCAGTTGTCGACAATGTTTGGCGCGCAAAGTGAAAATGGCGCGCAAAGTCAGTAGGAGGTTCACACCGGTCCAAAACGTCAATAAACACTCCGCCGAGAAAAGGGAAGCTATAAATGGAACTCAGCGGCAGTACATATCGTGATCCTGCACCAAATACGGCTCTAACAGACAGGTTTCCAGGGATGGTGGATAAAGTTGACGAACATGTAAATTTGGCGCGCAACCCAGTTCACACAGCTGGACGGTCAAGTTTCTGGAGCGCGCGCCAGTCTACGACCCCCTGCCACTCACTTGTTCCTGTCAGCAACTTCTTATTGTGCTGACACTCACACGGGCAATGTTCCTGACAACCTCTACCATAAACCACCACCACTACCCCCCAGCGTTTCTCCGAGGTGGGATGGATAGAGGTCACTGCTTGCTAGGTAAAGAGAATGAACCCGTTGAGCTGCACTGTACTTTAAAACTAACACTACAACATATACCCACTGATAACACGATACACTGACCCTGAACTAATGTTGGGGGTTAGGTTACGGTCACATCAAGTTTAAATTGGGTTAAGAGCAAGATTAAGTTAGGTCAAAGTCACAGTGGGTTGAGTGAGGTTAAAGTCAGATTAGTATAACCTACATTCGGTTAGGTTAGAATAAGGTCTTTCAACAAGCGGGGTTAGGTTAGGTTAGCAATACAGAATTCAAACTTTAACTCACGCGAATGGACACCTTTAAAGTTACGATACCGGGAACTAAAATCGGGTTAAAGTATTCACGAACTCCGATATCATAACGTCATCCTCTGTCGTCAGCAGCCGATATTGCTAGGCTACACATATCCGGGGGTTTACAAAGACGAAATATTAACGTGCCGATAAATTTTTAACTTCAAAATGTTAATGTTCCGAGACCTTTAACCTCATAATTAGCATATTAATCTCTCAATTAAATATACATGTAATGAATAAATAAAAAGTTATATCAATGACATTAATTTATAAACGACGGCGTCATAATAATATTCATAACACAATAATATTTCACTACAATTTTACGTACAAGAAACACAAATAAAAATTCGACTTTGATATTACAAATTATTTTAAAGGTATTTTTGTTTTACGTGAGAATTTATTATAATTTCACAATAACACTGTTCTTCCACACTCGGAATATACCAAATGGAATATACAGCTGTTATAATTTTTACAGAATAACAGAATTGAATATATATACTTCAAACAACGTGTGTGTGTGTGTGTGTGTGTGTTTGAGAGATAATATACAGATAAGTTAGTTTCCTGGACTAACAAACTAATTATCGTCTCTCTCTCGTAATCCATATACGTCTCCTAACCTACCTGGTGAAATATTGGTGACTGACCTATACTTGGTGATGCAGATGGTGATGGATGTGGGTGGGGGGTGTTTTTTTTTTCAAGCACGGTGCACCAATAATAAGTCTTTCTTGGTGAACTAATTGCTGACAAATATACCTAAATAAATTGTTTTTCCTTTTCTATGACTTTTTTTTTTAACCTGGTTGGTGAACAAGGTGGTGACAACGATACTAAACTACCCACAATTCCCACGCACGGGCCTATTGACCTGACTTGGTGACGGGAGGTAGATATACAGTATACTAAATCTTCAAGGGTATATATTTCACCCCGCCTGCCTCCTAACCTACTTGGTGACTTACAGCTTTAACTCCTCCCCAACACTGGTGAACTATACTTGGTGCCAGTGAACAATCAAACGACTTAATAAACAAGGATATATTCTACCTGGTGACAGTAGGTTGGGGAGGAGTTTGAGTGATCTGCCTGCCTGTTGTGAAGTGGATAATGTGGTACTCTTAAGTCTTTGTGGTTTTGTTTTTTTTACGCCTACTTGGTAATTCCCCTGGGTGACATCCGTGAGAATAAGAGCACCACACACACACACACCTTTAATACAATACACACACACACGCTGCCTAACCTACACACACACACACACACACAACCTACACACACGCTGCCCTAGCTCCAGCACACACACACACTGCCTAAACTACACACACACACACACGCTGCCTAACCAACACACACACTGCTAAACTACACACACACACGCTGCCTAAACAACACACACACACTGCCTAAACTACACACACACACACGCTGCCTAACCTACACACACACACACGCTGCCTAACCAACACACACACACTGCCCTAAACTACACACACACACACACGCTGCCTAACCTACACACACACACACTGCCTAACCTACACACACACACGCTGCCTAACCTACACACACACACACATGCCTAACCTACACACACACACGCTGCCTAACCAACACACACACACTGCCTAAACTACACACACACACGCTGCCCTAACCTACACACACACACACTGCCCTAACCTACACACACACACACACTTTATCCCAACCTACACACACACACTGCCTAACCTACACACACACACTGCTAACCTACACACACACTGCTCAACCTACACACACACACACACACACACACTGCCTAACCTACACACACACACACACACCTAGCCACACTGCCTGCACACACACACACACACACACACTGCCTAACCTACCTGCCTCTCACACACACACACACACACAGCTTCACATCTGCTTTGGTGCTGGGTCTTTCAGGATCAGAGAATGCCAGGTGCACACACATTCTATTAATGAGGCTGCCTGACTGTTGTTAAGGACTGTCTGACTGTTGTTAAGGACTGTCTGACTGTTGTTTCCTGACTGTTGTTAAGGACTGTCTGACTGTTGTTGCCTGACTGTTGTTAAGGACTGTCTGACTGTTGTTTCCTGACTGTTGTTAAGGACTGTCTGACTGTTGTTTCCTGACTGTTGTTAAGGACTGTCTGACTGTTGTTTCCTGACTGTTGTTAAGGGCTGTCTGACTGTTGTTTCCTGACTGTTGTTAAGGACTGTCTGACTGTTGTTGCCTGACTGTTGTTAAGGACTGTCTGACTGTTGTTTCCTGACTGTTGTTAAGGGCTGTCTGACTGTTGTTGCCTGACTGTTGTTAAGGGCTGTCTGACTGTTGCCTGACTGTTGTTAGGACTGTCTGACTGTTGTTAAGGGCTGTCTGACTGTTGCCTGACTGTTGTGGGACTGTCTGACTGTTGTTAGGAGCTGTCTGACTGTTGCCTGACTGTTGTTAAGGGCTGTCTGACTGTTGCCTGACTGTTGTTAAGGACTGTCTTACTGTTGTTTCCTGACTGTTGTTAAGGGCTGTCTGACTGTTGTTGCCTGACTGTTGTTAAGGGCTGTCTGACTGTTGTTAAGGGCTGTCTGACTGTTAAGGACTGTCTGACTGTTGCCTGACTGTTGTTAGGGCTGTCGACTGTTGCCCATTTGTTGAGACATCTGACTGTTGTTATTGGACTGTCTGACTGTTGCCTGACTGTTGTTAAGGGCTGTCTGACTGTTGTTAGAGGCTGTCTGACTGTTGTTGCCCGACTGTTGTTAAGGGCTCTCTGACTGTTGTTAGGGCTGTCTGACCAATTGTTCCCTGACTGTTGCCCCCGACTGATACCTTAACTCACTGAAGTTAGAGTGTGATTCTAACTCAGATTAACTAGATAAGTGATGATTCCAACTTAGATTAACTAGATAACACAGTGATTCTAACTCAAGATTAACTAGATAACACAGTGATTCTAACTCAGATTAACTAGACCTTTACAAGTGATTCTAACTCAGATTAACTAGATAACACGAGGTGATTCTAACTCAGATTAACTAGATAACACAGTGATTCTAACTCAAGATTAACTAGATAACACAGTGATTCACTCAGATTAACTAGATAACACACAGTGATTCTAACTCAGATTAACTAGATAACACAGTGATTCTAACTCAAGATTAACTAGATAACACAGTGATTCTACTCAGATTAACTAGATAACACAGTGATTCTAACTCCAGATTAACTAGATAACACAGTGAGTTTAACCAGAGATTAACTAGATAACACAGTGATTCTAACTCAAGATTAACTTGATAACACAGTGATTCTAACTCAGATTAACTAGATAACACAGTGATTCTAACTCAGATTAACTAGATAACACAGTGGTTCCAACTTAGATTAACTAGATAACACCGGAAATGATTCTAACTCCAATTAACTAAGAATATTTTGAAATGATTCTAGCACTCAGATTAATAGATATGATTCTAACTCAGATTAACTAGATACTTCGATTCTAACTCAGATTAACTAGATAACTGATTCTAACTCCAGATTAACTAGATAACACAGTGATTGTAACTCAGATTAACTAGATAACACAGTGATTCTAACTCAGATTAACTAGATAACACAGTGATTCTAACTCAGATTAACTAGATAACTGATTCTAACTCCCAAGGAATTAACTAGATAACTGATTTTAACTCAGATTAACTAGATAACTGATTGTAACTCAAGATTAACTAGATAACACAGTGATTGTAACTCAGATTAACTAGATAACACAGTGATTCTAACTCAGATTAACTAGATAACACATTGATTCTGCTCAGATTAACTAGATAACACATTGATTCTAACTCAGATTAACTAGACAACACAGTGATTCTAACAA